GCGCATGCGCGTTGACGCAAGTATCTCTCAGCATGTGAGAGAGAAGTGGGGGGAATGGCGGCAAGCTTCCAGTGGAGATCGCGACTCGCGGCTCAGTCGCTCGCTAGCTACGAGATTGAATTGATTAATTTTATTGTGTATACATCACTTTCAGACACTCGCGAGACGAATCAAATCGTGTCCAAGGTGAAAAGATACTCATTTTGTATTTCGCATCCTTCTTGAATTTGTCTAACTGCTCTCTTGTAAACCTCCGATAACCTTAAAAAGACTCGGTGAGTAAGAGACGAACAAGAGTGTCAAAGAGAGGGAGAGTGATTCGAGTGTGCCGACTGTGATACACTTAGCCGCGTAGATAGCCGCTCTGTGATATACGCGTACATACATGGATATTTCGATATCTCTGGACTTTTCTCGTATGGACACGAAAAGCTGTTAATAGAGATATTCGAGCTTTTAATATTAATTAATTGTTAATTGCGGATCCTACTTATGTGCAAAGATAAATGGAAAATTCATCGAAGATATTGGATATGGATATATAAATAAATACGTACAAGATAGTGCAAACTTCTGTACGTAAAAAGAAGACGGTGATAAGAGGGATACGGAGAGGGACGGAGAGAAATAGAGAAGAGTAGCGGAAGAAAAGATACACGTGCGCGTGGTCGGTATCTCGAGGATACCTGTGGATGCCAGGCTGGAGTTGCGACGTATTAGGACGCGGATTTCTGTCCGATGACCGCCGAGGAGATTCATTTCGATTCACTAACCGATCTCCAGCATTGATATTACGCCGCATCAGACGGTTTATCAGCTAAGTTACAACTGAGGTAATAATGTTATTCTATTTTATATATATATATTTTTTTGATTTTAATTTTTATTAAGCTAAACATCATTTTTTAGATAATTATGCGAAAAATTTATTTTATTATTTCGTGATATTTTTTGATACATATAATTATTTTTCCTTTAATTCAATATTATATCATTAATCCATTTATTTTTGTATTTTCTATTTTATTAATGATATTAAAATTAAAAATGATAAAAATTAATATAATGTTTGCAAAATGATTTTGTAGAATTTATTATATATAGATTCTAAAAAATGATTTAAAATTTATTTGAAAATTGTAATTTTCTTAAGTTTAAGATAAATTTTATACAATTTTTCTTGAAATTATATGTTTTTTTAAAAATGTATGTTTATAATCAGCATTAATGTTATATATATATATATATATATATAACATATTTTATAACATTATATATATTAAGAAAATGAATAATTGTTTTGCCTTATCATACTAATTTCTTTTTATACTAATAATTGGTTATTTAACATTGCCAATTTACTAAATAACATTTGTTAATGTTATAATTTATAATTATTCTTAATTGCATTATGAAAAAAATTTTATTTTTATTTTTAATTATTTTAGTATTCTTCATTTTTTATGACAAATTCAAGAAATTTTATAATATATATTTTCAATATTCTTTTTATAATGACATGTATTAATTTATAATATCTTATGATTTATTATATTTAAATTTCCTTTATCATATAAAATATAATAAATTATGAAATTATGGATTATTCTTATTAGCATGTTTTCTTATTTAAATTAATAATTTATTGCTTATGATGACTGCAAAATTATTGCAAAATAATTCGTATTGATCTTATAATAGCTTAGTATGTTAATTTTCGCTTTCCGGAAGTAGTATTAAAATACATAGAAGACAATTTATCGCAAAACATCCGAGACAATTGTTTAATTTTCTCTCTTTCTGCTTATCAATGAGTTTCATTTAAATCCGAAATCAGTTTAATTAATAATTTTCAAGCGTCATTTAACTCATCGAAGAATGTCATCGAATTTATGATTTATTACTATGATAAGAAGCTTATCAGTGCAAGATATATCAATCGAAATTTTAGGTTTTGTAAATAAACTTTCTTTATCTTTCTTTTATGGTAAAAGTGTAAATTTCGTTATATTTATATATAATGAAAAATATTTTTGACATATGCAATTTGTTCTTTTCTCATTGCAATTATTTGTAATTTTATTAATTTAATCTAAATTACGATCATAAATTGAAAACAAAAAAAAGATTAGAAGAAAAAATAATCATTATATAGAATTAGATTTTACATAGATAATAAAAGTTATAATAACTTTTTTATTCTTTTCAATTTAAAAAAAAGTTGAAATTAAAATAATTGGATAATTTTATATTATTTAAAATTAATTTATTTTTCTATATTTAAAACAAAATTATTATTTCTTATATTAATATTTGCTAATAGAAAATGTAAATTTTCCAATTTTACTAAATTTTTCAGAATAATTAAATATATTTTATAATATATATGTTAATAAATATATTAAATTTATTATAAATATTATGCAATTAAGTAATAAATAATACAATTAAGAATTTCTAATAAAATCATACAAAATCATCGATGGCTAAAATAGAATTGAAAATAATGAAAGAAAAAAAATTGACATAATTCTTTTGTTTCCTATACTTCAATTTCTAACTGTATGAAGGATTTATACACCTTTCCTCCTGTTTTCTTTTCCTTCTACTCATGCCTGCGCACGCGTAATAGGGTCGCGCGCACGCACACTACTGACGCAAGTATACAACACGATGTGACGGCTAAGCGGAGCGGCTGTTGCTTACGCTCCTTGATCGTTATTCAGGAAGTTGCACGTTATCATTTACATAACACGTGAGCTCGAACAAAATCATGCATAATTCCTTCCTCCTTAGCGCAGCCGCGTTACCGCTTCTCTTTTTATTTTCCTTTTTTCCCCAATTGAAAAAAAAGAGGAATTTATTCCTGTCATCTTTCTCATTCGCCAAACCCGTATTTTTAAATCTGCGCCAGACAAGCGTCTTCTTTATCTATAGTAGGTCTGTTGACTAAGATCCGGCCAGCGGTTTTTTGACACATTTACTTTACAAGTGATTTTTGCGATCGAATTATAACGACTTATGTTAATATTTGAACACTAGAATATATTAAAAATTATGGTTATTTATTGTTATATTATATTTATTGTTATAATATTGTTATATTTATTCGTTATAGTATTATTGAATTATTGATATAAAATTTATTATTTATTATATATCAAAATAAGAAGTTTTTTGCTCAACAAGCTATAATTTAAATAATATATAATTTAAATAACGGGGAAATTTGTAAAAATATTCATAATAATTTTGCTATAAAAACCATTGTATTAATTTAATCGGTAGTACACACTGAAATTTATAAAGATAGATATAAAATATATGTAACTTTCTTACTCTCTGAATATTTTTATGATGTTAGCTTTCGCTATTACTTAATTTATCGCTTATTCTACAAAAAATATATGTCTTAAATAAAATTTGTTTTTATTAATTATTAAAAATAAATATTTTTTATATAATTTAATTTTTTATATAATTTTTTATATAAAAATAATTATATAAAAATATATAGAACAATGATTTCTTGTGTATTATATTGTATTACACTATGGTGTAATAATCTTTTAAATATATTCGTACAGTAACATAATTATGCAATAGATTAAGAAAGAAACAATAAAAAAAAAACAAAAAAAAATATATCAAATTTTATAATCTAATTTAAATATTTATATTCATATGTTTCATTGTTTCATATTTTTCATTAAATTGTATGCTATTATATTTATAAAATATTGCTATCTATCTAATGAATATTAATTATAAATTAATTTTTAATTATAAATTAAATTTTACTAGATTTTTCATCGTTATCATTAGATATTAATTTTCAATAATTGACTATTTAGAATTAAAATTGAAAAATTAATTTTCAAAGAGAAACAGAATTTTTTTTTAACTATGCTTTTAAACTTAATTTTTAACTTTCTAATTCTTCTTTTTATGATATTATTTATAATAACTTTTCTTATATCATAAATTTATTGATATTTTAAAATAAATATATAAAATAATATATGCAATACAGCTAAATTGAAAATATTTACAAACAATATTTCTTATATGTAAAAGAATATTCTGAAAAAAAATTAAATTTTTGCAAATTATTTAATTTTATTTTAAAAAATGTATAAAATTAATAAATTTAATAGTTATCTTTAAAAATGTATAATTTATTTTATCAAATACAAATTTTAATTTGAATATTTCTATACAATGCAATTTTTATTCATTCTTACAAGTAATATATAGTAGTAAATAAAAATTTTTCTTTTATATTTTGTTCCATTTTATTGATTAATTCGAATTTATTCATAGTTATTGTCACACATTTTTAGCCTAACAAATTGAAATTCATCGAACCAACGAAAAAAAAAATTTAATTTTCGAAAAATTAATATGCTGATATATTATTTTTATCAGCGTACGAAAAGAAAAAGTATTATTCTAACTAGAGAATGTTCGGTTGAAAGGTTTTTACGTCCATTTTCTATCGCAGTGAAGAGACTTGATAAGAGGTTAAAGGGGAGAAACGGCGTAGGAGGAAGAGGAAGTGGGCGGTAAGGGTGGTGGGAGGGTGAGAGAAGAAAGGCTTTCGAAACGTAATTCCGGCCGGAAGAGCCGGGAACCCGGAAGTGAGAAAGGAAGCACTACGATAGGGTGGTAAGGGAGATGGAAAATTCTCCAGAGCCTCGAGGGAAGGCTCGATCGATCGTTAAGATCACGGACGAGGTGTCGACATCTAACCATTGGCAAATTTCTAGCAACTCCTTTCGTTATTTTTACCTGATTCAAGATAGATTATTCAAAGATTATTTTTCCATCTTTTTTTATCATTATATTAATTAATAATATTATAAATTCTGGAAATTTATATTTATATTTTAATATCTCATGAAAGTATTCGAGTACTTTGTTATAAATGAAAAAGAAAAACAATTACACAACAATTACAATAATATTATATTAACATACAAAATGTTAAGAAGATCGATTATTGAAGCGAAAACAAGCATAAAAATTGATATACAGAAATATTGATTGAGATTTATTTATTAAAATTATTTATAAGCAACTGAAGTTTGCATTAGATGAAGTAGGGGATAGATTTAGATAGCTCTGTTTTCGTTACTGTTTTATCTCTTTTTTATTTTATTTCTGTGAATTTCTTCATTTGATCTAACACAAACTTCAACTTGTTTCTAACTTAATAAATAAGTCTTAACCAATATTTTTCTATTCTATACAAAATTTTTATATTTTTGATTTTTAAACTTAATTTTTAATCTTTTAGAAACTTTTCAAAGATATCACAAATATATTAACAATTATAATATTAACATTATATACACAAAAACTTTTTTATTATCCAGATTTTAGATTAATTTTCTTGTGAAATAATGTTCAACTATCTTCGTAAACATTTATATTTTAAATTTTTATTTTAATCTTTATGATGATAAAATCTTGAATTTTTGAATTAAATATATATATATTTAAGTTACATATACATATTTAAATTTTTTTTTTTTAATTTCTCAATAGATTTAAATCACGAAATTACGAAATAGATATATTATAATTCTATTAGAATATTCTCTGTTAGAATATTCTTAAAATTAGTATATCTAATTGACTAAATTTAAATATTTGTGGAATTTTTTTTTGAATTAAATCCTTTGAAATACGAAGAGTAAAAATTAAATTATATTTAATATTTTTTCTTTATTTTAAATTATATCACAATCAAATACGTAGAAAATACACATGGAAGGTATAAAAATAGATATAAGATAAAACAAAATACATAATAAATAACATAATAAAT